CCCGGATGGGAGGTGGTCAAGGCCAGATCAGGCTATCTCGAGAGCTTCATAGTGAATGAAGCCGAGTATAACGGCCTGATCCTGGGACTCGACATGCTAGAGGGCCTAGATCGCAGACGTCTGGTAGTCTGCGGGGATTCCAACCTAGTGATCCGACAAGTACGGGGTGAGATCGACTGCAAAGCACCCGGACTGACGTTGTTGAAACAGAAAGCCCTCGATCGCACGTGGAAATGGAGTAATCATGAGTTGGTGCACGTCAAGAGAGACTGGAACGGAAGTGCCGACAGTCTAGTGAGTGCCGCTTTGCAACGACAAGGAGGGATCGAGGTCCAGAAGTGTGTACCAGGATCTGGTAACCCTGAACCGGTTAGACGAAATCCTGATTCCCAAGACCGACAATCCCGTGGTGCGAGTTGCTGCGGTTACCACTCGAGCTGGTCGAGCGAGATCATCTGCGGGTGTCATGCAAGAGGATCTGATCCGGGAAATCCGGGTCGATCGGATCAAGCAGGCCCAAGAGGAAGAAGTCTGGATCGCCGGCATGAAGAAGTATCTGAGTGGCTCAATCGCAGAACACAAGCGGAAGCAAGATCGGGTGGCAAGATCGCGGCTGACTACGAGGTAGACGAGCAGGATCTACTCTTTTACTGCCCCTCCGCGCCGAGATCGGGAGACGATCGCGACCGATTGATGAGATTGGTAGTCCCCGAAACGTTGCAATCGGACGTCCTACATCACTATCACACCACGTTGGAAGGAGGACATCAGGGAGTGGGGTGTACTTACCAGCGGATCAGGGACCACTTCCACTGAAGGGGATTATACCGGAGTGTCCAGCGATATGTGGGGAATGAGTGGATTGCGAAACAGGAAAAGGAAAACCGGTGATCCGGGGCGAATCACCAGGAAACTTGCAGGCGACGTACCCGTTCCAGATCATCGCGATGGATCACATACTGTCACTACCCAGATCCCACAAGGGAAACACGGAGTTGTTGATCTGGGTCGATCTGTTCACAGGATATGTGATCGCGAAAGCCAGCTCGTCCCGATCGGCCCAGACGGTTGCGGAATCGTACGAAGAGTGTGTATTTCGGCGATGTGGCGCCAGTGAGATGATACGGCATGATCGATAACCCGGCTTCATGTCCGATTTCTTCCCGGCATTTAACAAGATCTTGGGACAACGGCAGCGGGCGACGATGGACTATCGGCCACAGGCCAACAGGACCGCTGAGAGAATGGTGCAGTCCGCGACCAGGGCGCTCATGATGTACGTCCACGATCTTGATCAGAGGGATTGGGACGAATATGCGGAGCGCCTCACCTTCGCGATCAACACGGCTCACGATAGGATCCGAGGAGATACCCCTCACTATTTGGTACGTGGGTAGGATCCGAGATCGACATTGGAAGCTACACTGCCGGTCGGATGTACGAGACGGCGTGATCGAGACGCGTGGCGATGGCGATATCGAGTCCAGCGATACTATCAACAATCCCGGCAACAAGTCAATGCCAGATTGAAGGAGGCCATCGCAGATAGAGCTGACCGACACAACGAGGACGTCGGATCACACCAGATCGAGGGCGGATCCCGTGTCTGGTTATACTTAGATCGGGTGAAAGAAGGATACGCGCGGAAATTGGCTCACCTTTGGCTGGGCCGTTCCGAGTCGCCGGAAAGATCAACGAATTCAGCGTCAAGCTCGAGATCGCAGGTATCGGGTACCAGATCTTCCCAGTAGTGCACGTGTCGAAGTTGAAATTGGTCAAGGATTTTCCGGATCGGCCGCGAGTGGAACGTACGGTAGATGAGGCGGATCGTCTCGATTTCGACGAGATCCTGCTCCAGGAGGACATTTGGGTCCCGGATCTAGGGGCCGTTGAGTATGAAGTCGAGCGGATTTCTGATGTGCGGAGTGGGAAGAAGACGCGATTTGGTCGGATCTGTCGAGAATTCCTGGTTCATTGGGCAGGATATGATGAGTCAACCTGGGTCGACGAAGCCGATCTCAACTGCGGGGCAATATTGAACGCCTTCCTGCGAGAACGGGTCAATCGGAATCGCTTCAATGTGATGCAATCACATGAGGAGATGTAAGGCGGACGGGGTGAGGTTACCTGATCGCCTCGACCCCGAAGGAATACCGGTCAGATAAGGTCGAGATCAGGCGTTCATGATGTATATATGCATAGGGAAGCCGTCGCAAGAGATCATGGAAGACATGAGGAGTTGGAAGAGAGATCACTTAGGAATGGCGGCGAAAAGAACAAACGAGCAGAAGATGTGGTTAGGAAATTACGAGATCGACCAGGAAGAAATGCGGTCACGGATGGAAGTCGAAGATCCCGGAGGTGGGTGAAGAGTGGAAGCTAGATCGACGATCAGGGGGCCGCCGGAGGATTGAACTTGTTCACGAGGCGAGGTATGCTCAGCGACGGATGAGCGGACCCGGGATCACGGTAGTGATTCCTCCAGGTATCCGCTTGATCACATTCAAATAGCGCCGTGATCAGGTCGGTCGGCTCGGGGAGATTCGCTGTCGGCTGCGTGAGGTTGGCCGCCCGGGAGACCGATCCGGGATACCAACGCACCCGATCCTGTTTGGTCGGCAGATGGAGGAAATAGGGGTCCAGCAGGATGTCGAAGTCGGCCCACTGTGCTCTTATCACCAGCACAACGTCCCCCAACAGCTTCCTCCAACTTTCTCCAGCCCTGATCCGCCGCTGACGCCGATCCTGGTGGTAGGTGAAGAGATCTGAGTCAGCGGCGGTCATCGCTTTCGTGATCTCGAGGTAATGGGTCGATTCCCAATAAGCAATCATGTGATCTTCTTCCAGGGCCGCATACGCCGCGGCGATCCGCCAGCGGGGGGTCTCAGCTCGCCGGTGAAGGTTGTGATCGAAGGTCAACGGAGTGGGACGACGCCAAAACGTTGGCACCGATGATCAACTCCGATCGATAACCGACTACGGGGATGGGAGCCCGAACCGGAGGGATTCGGTGCGGAAACAGGAAATTGGGCGGGATCGGCAACCATTTCGTCAACGTGGACTGGATCATGGCTATGATTGGCACATTTCACACGATAGTCGGGTCCCATGGAGTGATCTCGGCCGCCGTGAAGAGCTTGAGTGCAGAATAAAGAGGAATACTTGCCTCAGCTGGAAATAACGGTGTATTGTGCTGGATGGGTGAGCCACCCCCGGAGAACCACCACCAGGGCTTCCGCCAGGAGACCTGGGAGGTGAGGGAGGAGGCGCCGTGGGACTGCGACCCGGTGAAGGTGAGAGAGGAGGTGTCGTAGGGCCGTGATCCGGAGGAGGGGAGTCGTGATCACCCGGGCTGCCCCCTCCCCCGCTTGGGATCTCAGGTTTTTCTTGTTGCTCCTGGTCATCCGGACCCTCGATCTCAGGCTGACCTTGGTGCCCCTGGTCCTCCGGGCCCTCGATCTCGGGCTGGTCCCGGTTAGGCGGTGGGGAAACGGGTCGATCACTACGAGGCGCCTTGAGAGGAGGTAATTGAGGCGGGGAACTGGGCGGACTTCGCTCACGTTTCGGCATCCGCGTCGCCTGACTCCCTCTGATCCGGCTGGTGAGGTGTGTGAGAAGTATATCGGCCTCATTTAGATCGCTCTCAGCTAGATCGCCCAACTCGGCGAGTTGGTCGTGGGCGACCTAGAGATCCGTCATCTGCCCCTCTCTCTCCTGAAGCTCCTGGTGAACCACCTCGAGATCGTCGTCTAGCTGGGCCGTGCGGGCAGTCTCAGTAAAAAGGTCCAAGCGAACTTGATCGCGTTCGGCAACAGCGTGATCACGAAGGCGGAGGGCCGAATCACGATCGACAAGGGCCCGATCCCGGTCCTCGGTGGCCTGGGCAAGTTGCTTGAAGGCTCGATTGCGATCGGAAGTGACCTGCGTCAGGGTTGCCTGGGCGAGCGCCAGATCTGCGAATGCGCGATCCCGGTGCGCCTGGACTAGACGAGCGGAGCTGCTGGGGGACGGATCTCTCCCGCGAACCGACTGCGTGCGGGTGAGGCTGGAGAAGATCCGGTTAAAGCTGGCGAGAGCGGTGGCGGATTCAGACCTCGAATCGTCAGACTCACGCTCCAGACCGCGGATCTGCGCCTGCAAGTCTCGGATCTCGTCCCCGGCTTCAACAGCTTCCAGCCGCAGACGATCACGACCAGTCTCGGCGTTGTGAAGGTCTTCTCGGGCAGATGTAATGTGACGTTCGAAGTCGTTCCGTTTGGTGCGCAGTTGAAGGACCTATGTGTGGAGATTCTCTGGATCGTCACCAATGGCGTGAGTGAGAGTCGAGATCTCGGTCTCAAGTCGAATGATCTTGTCTCGCTGGCCGTGGTGGAACGCTTCCATGTCCCAGATGTTGGATCGCAGCTGGTGGACTTGCAGATCGAGGTGATCCCGGTCTCGGACGAGCCGATCTCGCATAAGATTACTCTGGCGAAGCTCGCTCTCTGACGTGGCCAATCGTCGATCCCGATCAGAGGTGTGGGAGTGTGAGCGGCGCGAGATCGTAGAGTGCCGCGACTTGTAGCTCGTGGTCGACTGTGGCGAGTCAGGGGGGTCGGAATAGGAGGACTTCCGGGGTCGCTGCCGGTCTGGCTCATGGATATTGCTGGTGGTGGAGTGGAGGGGGGTATGCCCAAGTCGGAAGATTGTGGAATGAGACCTGAAGTGAACCCTGACTGTCCAACTTTCACGCTGAGGGCGGGTGTGGTAAAGTGCGATCGAAATCTCACGAGAAGAGCAACCTCGGCTGCCAGATCGCGAGAAAGAGACGGACCAGGCGACAGAAATCCCACTCTAGGCCAAGACATCAAAATGATTCCCCAAGATCTTACGTGCGACAACACCGGTGAGTGATGGGGATTACGGATGACCCAACATCGACTGCAGATGACCCAAGATCAACCCGACGGAATGATGGATGGCGACCCACCCTTATTATATCGTGAGAAGGCCGGATCAAGGCGGTTCATGGTGCGAGGTCGCTATCGAGCGCCGATCCTGAATGGTAGCGGACCGACGGACCAAGATCGAAGTAGAGCGGCTACGTTCAGAACCCTGTCAATCACCGATCGAGATATGCGAGGGAACCATAACCCCAGATCAAGACAAGATGGCAGTCCGGAACCCGAAGAAGGAGGCGGGATAGGATCGCCGGGAGGCAGGCGGCGTGCGCTCTAAGGCGAGCGGCAGGGATGAAGATCGCCGCACGACAGTCGCGGCGATGGTTCAAGGGTCCGGGCCGACGTTCCTGATTGCGAACATGGGTCGTCGTCACAGATCGAGGCAGATCGGGGCGAGATCGTGATGGCCGACCGAGGCCCGATCGAGGTCCGATCGTGATCGTCGATCGAAGTCTGATCAAGATCTGATCGTGATCGCCGATGGCCGATCTCAAGATAAGGTATGTATCCGGATGCCAGGTAATCGTAGGAGCGCAGCTGAGGCTGGGTTAGGAAACATAGGGATAAAAGTAACCAGACTCGAATTTGCTCTAAGCCACACAAGTGTCCGCCTTCGCCTGGAATCGGGGATTATTTTGGCCCCTCAAGCGCGTAGACGGTAAGGACACAGGATCTAACGTAGCAGTTAAAACTGGATAATATATTGGCCAGCTTTGCCCTACCTAGTGACTTGTCCTCAATTGCTTATTGTTAATCGGAAGACATTGATTGCTTGGCATAACGATTGCATCGGATCTCGACCCAACAAGTTCCCCGCTATTGGAAGTGGCAAGCATATCAAGGAAGGAGCAAGATCTCCGTATTTGGACTACCTAAAGACCTGTATCGACAACCAGGCAGCTCGATCGCGACACAAGGACGCGTCAGCGACCGAGTTCAACCTATATCGAGGTAGAGCGAAGAAGTCCCGCGCTATCTCAAGCCCCAGCGTTCTATCCTTTCGGGATATACATCGAACGAGTCACCCAGGAGAGCGTAACCCGCCCGCCGTCGGGTACTCAAGGTGAGCAAGACACAACCAAATCACGGATCATCGGAGGACCCTCTTCGTTAGCCGATGTCCGGGCGCAAGTGGTATCGGGAACCGCGATCACAAGATTTTCACGGATTCCGCTTCGCCACACGGACGTGGGTGCCGCGACCTTCCACAGGACAAGCAGTATACTCGTGGGTATCCACGTTCGCGTGTGGCCACTGTCAGTGTCGATGAATCTGCTCCATTCGCTCCGCCAAAACAACGACCGGGATCAGTAGGTGCGGGCACCTTACTTGCTGGATCGGAGGTCCAGGTCCTCCGGTGACAACCAGACTTCCTAGCCCCTTGTGCACTACGCGCTCTTTTATGCCACCACAGCCAACGCTCGAGACTGATCATCGTCAGTCTGTACGTCGAAGGCACGCGGCGTCCGCTCCGCGTGCTACTCGACTCCGGAGCATCGAACAACTTCTTTTGTGTGTCATTTCCGTTGCTGCTCCCGACCACGATTTCGGTCCGTGATGGTCCTGGTGAGACAATCGACAAACTAGCTGACGGCAAGCTGCACCGCGTCCCGCGGCGCCAAGTCGAACTGCCGTACACGTTTGATGGCTTTTAGAGTAATGTCAGCTTCTTGGTGCTTGAGATGAACTACACCTTTGAATGCATCTTCAGGATTCCGTGGATCACACGATACCAGCCGAAGATCGACTGGCTGGCTCGCTCCGTCAAACACCGGAGTGGGTTCATCATGAGAGCAGTCTTTACCCACCTCCTGGTCGCGCCGGCCGGCTGGCCGCACGCCGGGTGTGGATGACATACGTCCTGCGAAGAAAGAGCGATGACCCTCTATGCTCGGGTTGCGCTATCGCGCTGGAAGGTGGGGATTGTGGCGACGGGACACCCTCATGGCAGCGAGACGATGTGAACGAGGCAGGCGAGCAAAGGCGGCTCCCGCATGAGACCGGCGCAGCTGCGAGCAAGCTCCCGCGTTTAGAGTAGGGTGAAGCAGTCTCCTTCCCCGACAGTGAGTCATCAGCTTCGAGCAGCGGCTCGTGGCAAAGGAAGAAGTTGAAGCGCCGTCGCCTTAAGCCGCGCTCCTCAAGTGAATACGAAACCCTACGATTGAAT